AGCTCTGGCCTCCCTGACTCTTCCTGGCATCTTTGTCCTGGGTGGGTCTGTAGCTAGATTTGGTGCTCAGCACAGCCAAATACTGGAAACTCATGAAATGAATGAGTCTGGCCTGCGGTGGTTCAGAGTATGGGCTCAGGAGTCAGACTGAGTCTGAATCACTGCTCAGCCACCAGCTAATAGTTTGATCATAGGCAATCACTAAACTCCCTGAGCTCCAGCTTTTGCATCTGTAAGATGAGTATAATAGCATCACACAGGGCTGTGGGGAAGGAGGAAATTGATAGCTGAAGGGTGTTTAGAGGAGCTCCTGGCACATAGTTAATACTCAGTAAATGCTGGCCAGTACTGTTGTTGTTGTCACCTTTATGGGGATGGTTTCTGGAACCAACNGAGCAAGAAAAAGATTGGAACAACTTTCCTGAATTGAACTTCCCCTGCCTAGCAACTGATTTTTGTAGCAAAGAACTCAGTGGGGGTGTTCTCCAGAGCATAGAGCTGATCAGAGCAGCTTTTCAAATGTGGCTGAAAAAGCCATGGGGCTCCAGGCTCCTGCCCTTGTCCCCGAGCCAGGCTGCCCTGAAGCTTGGAGCTGGTCCTGGAAACCCGTAAGTGCAAGCTCCGAATGGAGGGAAAACACAGTGAGCCCACAGTAGTGGGCTGGATCCCAAAGGCGCAGTGCTCTAATCACAGCTCTGTTTCCAACATTCCGTGTGACCCAGAACAAATCAATTACCTTCTCTGTGCCTTCATTTTCCCAACTGTAAATCAGGGCATGTCCTCCTGGACCTTTGTCCCAGCTGGGAAGCAGGTATCAAAAAACTTTCAAAAGGCAATCAACAAAACCACGCAGCTCAGAGGCACTGCTGGAAATAGTGCTGACACAAATAAGTAGAGAAACACACAAGCCCCTGCCCGGGGCATTGTGGATACACCTGGCTTCGTTTTGGGCGGTGAGAACTCTGGGAGAAAGGCCAGGAGCTGAACAGTGCAGGACAAGCAAAGCACTTCCCTGCAACTCTTTTTCCTGAGTTTTATCTAAAACCACACCACAATTCCATTATAATTGGAAAACTTCACTTGAAAGTTTTGTATAAAAATGAGATTTTTAAAATGGAAAAATGGATGTCTATATTGCTTTATTTAAATGATGATAAATAAAGCCTTTTTTTTCCTTCCAAGGGGTTCAGATGACATAGGGGACACTATGAGGTTTTTAAAGCTATTTTGCAAAATTCTTCATAGGCCAGTGGTGTCTCGTGGCACGTGTGTCTGAAGGGCGTGGCGTTTGCTCTTGGTCTGGGCCCCGCACCCCAGGCATGGCTCTGCCTCATCCTTTCGCGGCGGAGGCTCCATCCACAGTTTCACTCCCTGCACCTGTGTTGGGCTTCCAGTGCTTTGAGGGCAGTCACCTTTTTATTCATCTCTGCTCCAGGATCTAGCACGTTTTCTAGCTTACTATGGGTGTTCTGTAAGTGCAGTGGTTTCTCTGGATAAAACTTACAGAGCTCTGGAGCAGTTACTTCTAGTGTGGCAGCTGCTGGGAGCACTGTGTTCACGTGGAGTGAGCTCTGACTGGGAGTCCACTCTGCACCCAACTACCAGTGGGGCCCCAGCAATTTGTTTTCCTCTATGGAACTCACATTTCCCAACTCATTCATTTATTCCAATCAACGAAGAGTCAGTGAACACCCATGCTGTGCTAGGAATCATGAGAGATATTGGGCCAGGAGAGATGACCACACCCAGTCTGCCCACAAAGAGGAAAAGAGTCATGGAAACCACCTCCATACAACATAATGGATGCATACCCACAAGGGTGGCTAAAATAAAAAAGATGATAATAAGTGTTTGTGAGGATGTGGAAAAATCGGAACCCTTATATGCTATAGGTGGGTATGTAAGATGGTGCAGCCACTATGGAAAACAGTTTGGCAGTTTCTTTTTTTTTTTTTTTTTCGTGACTGGCAATGGATCGCAACCCTCGGTGTTGCACCCGCCCCCCCC